ATTCGGGACTCATTGGGGCCCTGTTTGTGACGGCGCTAATGCGGTCGACCACGTGGTTCATGATGTGTATGCGGGCGTCCGTTAATCTACACAACAGTATATTCGCGCGTCTATTACGGGCACCGATAGCCGTGTTTGACAACAACCCCGTCGGTAATCATGTGATCTATAATTAATTCACCAAACATTACCTAGATACTCCATCGGTGAGCGTAACAATAAATTATAGTTAGTTTGAAAAGTTTGTGAAAATAAATCACTTTTCAAAATCATTACGATTGTAGTTTTGTTAGCAAATAAATAAGTATGGTCAAACTGGCACCTACAAAGTTAATACATTTGAATACATTTTAACGAATTAACATGTTCTGGATCACTATGACATTAACACTTTATATATAATTATAGGTCAAATGCTAAACCGTTTCTCGAAAGACATGGGTGTTGTCGACGAAATGCTTCCCTTCACTGGTTTTGACTTAAATTTTGTAAATAAATTAAAATTATATTTTAATTGATAATCAATTTTACGAGTATTGCGTAGAAATTGAATATATTTTTGTCGTCAATACAGTTGCTATTTGAAGGGATTGGTATTATAATAACGGTGGCCATTATCAACATTTACCTAATCATCCCGGGTATTTTCTTAATCATATTTACGGTGATCGTGAGGGGCGTATACATGAAATCGGCCAGGGATATCAAACGTTTCGAGGGGATAAGTATGTGCTCATAAGGTAGTGATTATAATGTGGTTATAATTATTTTAACTCACATTTTATAGCGAGAAGTCCAGTGTTTACTCACGTGAGCACAACCATCAATGGGTTGGTCAGTGTGCGGGCCTATGGGGCGCAGGAGGCCTTTGAGCGCCAGTACTATATCTACCAAAATGACCACACTGCCACCTGGTTCCTATTTGTGTGTGCATCCCGTACCCTGGGTCTCATTATGGACTGGTTATGTGTGGCATATTTAGTGGTCATAGCCGTCGTAATGATGGTATTCCCCGAACAGATTGGGAACGGCGGTAGTGCCGGACTGGCCCTCGCGTCAGGTGTGCTATTGATATGCATATGAAATGAGTTTATTATTAATATTTATGACAAATGCTTACATAATAAGTGTTTATATATTGTTAGCCCTAATGATGACAGGAATGACTCAATTGGGAGTCAAACAGTGGACTGAATTTGAGAGTCAGATGACTTCAGTCGAGCGTATCATTGAATACCAGAGACTACGACAGGAGGCGCCGTTAGACTCGGATGACAGACACCGACCCCCACCTGACTGGCCCTCGAAGGGTGAGATAGAGCTGAGGAATATGTCTCTGGTATACGAGGGCTCAACCAAACCTGTGCTGAAGAGCCTGTGCTGTCGTGTGAAGAGTGGCGAAAAGATAGGTATCGTCGGGCGTACCGGTGCCGGCAAGTCGTCCATCATATCAGCCCTGTTCCGGATGGTGGAGCCCAGGGGTGAGGTAGTGGTGGACGGCGTGGACACCAAATCTATAGGTTTGCATGACTTGAGGCGCAACATCT